TCGATTTTAATTAAACGTTTTCCCTCCATCGTGTAAATAAATTTTTAACGTGTCCGTAACCCGTAAAGGAAAAATTTTTTGCCTTTTCCATTTGTTTAAATTTGTTTATCCGCTAAAAAAACAAAAACGCGCGTTATTAGTAACGGTTTTCAATAAGTAATGTTAATAATAATAATTCGACCATTCTAACCGTCGGATCACCATTGTACGAAAAAAAGAATATCGTGATATTCTTCGTTCATCCCTCACTTCCGGTTGGTTTTTTTTTTTTTAATTCCCCCGACGACATTTTCATTACGCCATGTTTTTTTTTATTTTTAGTTAAAGTAACGTGAAACGAACCGAACACCACTCCTACACTTTTTATTTTTTTTTTTTTAACATGGAGGGCAGAAAAAACCGACGCGACGTCAAAAACCGGAAGATTGGTTTTTTTTTTTTTCTCGATCTTCATCCATTTTAACTCGCGCAACGTCATCCTGACCCATTTCAAAACAGAAACGACACAAAAAAAAAAATTATGCATTTTCGGTTGTTTTTTTAAAACAAAAAACCTTGAATTTCATTCCACACACACAAAAAAAAAAAAAAAAAAAAACGTTTCGATTCATTCGTACAAACGAGAAAAAAGGGGAGGGAGGGAGGGAGAGAGAGAAAACAAACAAAAAAATTAAAAATTCTTGTCAGAACATCATCATCATCATTATCATCATCTTTCCACATACAATTTAACAGCTCACCCCACTATGTTTCAAATCTTCATGTTTGTGTATCGTCTGCTGAGAATAACAAAAACAAAACAAACAATTTCGTTTCCGTTTTCAATTAATTAATTACTGATATAAACGACTTTTTTGACTTCTTTTCATATCACATATAAATTAAAAACGTACTGATAACAACAACAACAACAATAATAATAATAATAATAAACATCATTAAAAAAAATTAATTTTCCAATAATTTCCTTTCCCTTTCCCCCCTCTCCCTCACCTCCTTTTCTACGCTACCAATACGACCGACGCCACCGCAATCGCCATCACGACAACAAAGACACATACACTACTCATTATTATTATTATTATTAATATAAATAAAACTAAACGCAAATAATAATAATAATAATCGAACAAAACGTACCTTTGGTACGAGGAATAAATAAAAACACACCGACTCGACTTTAAACAAATTACAAAAAAAAAAAAAAATTATTAATATTGATTTTTAATGATCGATTATTATTATGATTATGATTGATTTGATTGGTTGTCGTCGTCGTCGTCGTCGTCGTTCGACCAACCGGAAATATAACATCCAACCAACCAAACGGTTACCATATATACAACGACGACGACCACGATTCAGCAAAACATATAAACTGAATGATAAGCATGAGTTTCATTTAATCGTTTCCTATTCAATCGCAAGTGAGAAAGAAAGAGAGAAACAAACAAACAAACAAACAAACAAACGAAAAAAAAAAAAAAAAATTTGTACAAAAAAAGAGTACAAGACCAAAAGTGATTTTTTTTTTTGTCTATTTATGTCGGACTCGCACATCCGTCACGCGCGCGTTCATATTGGCGTGCTAATACTTTTTTTTTTTTTTTCCAATTCATTCAGGTTGAGAGATAGAATGAGAGGGATGTCGTATAAGAGAGACCCGTAATAATTATGTATTCAAACACTAATTTTTTATTGTTTTAAAAAAACAACATGTCGTCAAAGGTGTTTGTTTGAAATTATTTTTTAATTAAACCCCACATTTAATGACTTAAACGAAATCCTAATTTTTTTTACCAATGTCAGGGTGCGATACCATCCCGTAACAAAATGAAAAGGTTCGATTCGGGGAGGGGGGAGGGGTGGAAAAAAGGAAAAAGGATTATGTTAAACAAACGCGTCGGCATTTTTACTCTGACGTCAAACTCTCACGATTTGGTAAATTTTTAAAATAACTCAAAATTTTAACGAATTTTCGACAACGATAATGATAATGATGATGATGACGTTTGAGGAAAACCTTTTACAAATCCTTCGATTAAGAACCTCGTGTTCGAACAATAAGTATTTTTCAATCGCAAAAATTTTTCCATATTTCCCCCCCCTCTCTCTCTCTCTTTCACTCCTCTATCCCCCCACTCCCTCTCTCTCTCTTTCTCTCTTACTTCTCTATCCCCCACTTTCTCTCTCTCTTTCACTTTCACAATTTTTTTTTTTTTTTATTTACGAAGATGTATAACGTGTCAACCCGTGACAGTTTTTTTTTTCTGTTTTTTTTTTTTACAATATTCCTAAGTGTTATTTTTGCTTGCTCCCACGTCAAATTTTTTCATTCGTGTGTTATGTTTATTAAAAAAATTGATTGATTCGGGGAGAGGGAGGGAAGGGGAAAAGTAGTAATAATGATAATAATATCCGCCATAAACAAAAAAACAATGACGTTTTGTCACGTGCTCAAATGAGGTAAAGGAAGAAAAAATAATAAACGGGATGGTAACAATCGTCGTAAAAAAAAAAACGCAACTTCCTTGCAGATCGAACGAACGAACGAACGAACGTGCGAACGTGTGCTTTTTTCCCTCACTTTAACTTCCCGAACGTTTCTATTACGTTCAAAACGAACGAAAATCATTTAGAAAAAAAAAAAAAAAAAAATTTATTTCCTCCGACTTGAAAACTTAATTAAAAAAAAAAAAAAAATTTTTTTTCGACTTTTGTTTCGTCAATCGTTGACACATTTATTCAACCGTGTTTCCTTTCCGTATGTACAAAATAATATTAATAATATTAATAATAATAATAATAATAATAATAATAATAATAATAATAATGATGATGATGATGATAACGAGACATTTTCTAAAACGCACGCTTCCTATTTCTATTTTTCGAAAAGTTTTCAAACGTTTGTTCGTGATTAAAAACGAAAAACGATATTAAATCGATTGAAAAAAAAAAAAAATAATAATAATAATAATAATAATAATTTCCGCGGTAAATCAATCGTTTGAAAACGCAAAAAATTTCGCACGCTTTCTCGCCGTTTCTCTTAGACTTCAAATTCAAAAAAAAAAAAAAATTATAACCGTCACGTCGAACCGTCCGAACGGGGAAATTTTAAAAACGTGGAACTAAAAAAAAAAAAATAATGATAATAATAATAACGATCTCGAAATTTTTTAAAATAATGCTTAACGGAAATCTCGAACGATCGATCGATCGATCATAATGCAATCGAACGATTAAATCTAACGAACGCATTTTTGAATAAAAAAAAAAACTTATTTATAAATTTTTTTAAAAATAAGAAAACAAAATATCCGTGTCCGCGTTTGTATACGCGCGCGTGTTGTTGTTATTATTATTATTATTATTACTACTACCGTTTGTCGTTGTTTTCACGTGTTTCTAACTGTGACCAATTGGTTTTGAAGTAATAAATAAGATATTAAACGAAAGAAAATCGTTTTAGTTTTCTTTTTTTTAAATAAAAACAATTATGCAATTTACTTCGGTTTAAAATAAGGAGACGTTAACACTCTCGGTCTTTGAACAAAAAAAAAAAAATTACTTTAATAAATCGGTCGGGATACACGTTCGTTGACCCAAAACTTTTCAACAAAATAATAATTTGTCTGTCTCTCTGTGTTTGAACGGTTTGAACGTTTGGAAATTGCAAAAAAAAAAACCTTTTTCAAATCGTACCGTTCGTTCGTTCGTTCGTTTAAATAATGAAAAACGTTCGGAACGAATCTCGCTTACCGCAACGTTAAGAAAAAAAAAAAAAAAATTATTTTAATAAGCCTGAGGGAGAGAAGAAAAAATCCCAAACGAAAAAAATTTTTATTTACGAATTTTTCGGGAACGTGCTGGAAGGTAGAAAGATAGAGAGAGAGAGAGAGAGAGAGAGATGAGCAAGAAGAAAAGACAATGGGATTTTAATCGAAACGTTCATTCCCCAACTTTCCATTCCAGACTCTTATAATGACGTACGCACGCACGCACACGCACACGAACAAATTCAAACGTTATAAATAAAAACAAAACATAATAAATTTTAATATTTCCTCATTTCTCCCCCCCCTCCCTCCCCCCAGTCACTCTTCCTACGGTGTATTTTTTGATTGAACGATTCGTTTCGATGTTAAACGAGAAAAAAAAACGAAAATGAAAATGAAAATGACCACGAAACACGACACGCATGAATGAATACATTCATTCTATGAATGAAAATTTTAAACTGTGTGTGAATGAATCTCCTTTTTTTTTTTTTAATTTTACATCAAATCTCCATTTCTCTTATTATTATTCGAAACTTATGTTTTTCATCTCGAATATTTTTTTTTTTTTTTTTTTAAACGATCAATGAAAAGTTTTCAACCACCATCTTTTTATGATGTTTGAGAGAAAGAGAGAGAGAGAGGGGGGGGAGAGAGGCCGATGATTCCTTCTCCTCCTCCTCCTCCTTTTGTAATAATTATATTTCCAGAAATGTTTAGTCGTGACTAAATTGTTAAATTGGTTATTGAATCGACACACGTGCATCAACACGGATGCTATTGTAGAAATATACAATTTACGACAAAATTTTATTTTTACCTCAGTTTTTAACCTCACCGAGATCGGAGTGGGGACGGGGGAGGAGGGGAGGGGAGAAACAATTTTAGACAAAGTAAAAATATAATTAAAAATAAAAAATTCAAACCGCAAATATTAGAAAAAAATAATAAAAATGTCGGAAAACCTAAACGATTTCGGTTTGAAACGACGTACCTATTTACGATTCAAATGAAGCGTGCCATTTTATACACGACACGGTTTCGAAACAAAACAAAAACAAAAACAAATTAATAGCGCCACTACTTTTTTTTTGTTGGGGGGAGGCGGGAGGGGTGGTAGCACATAAAAAAATAACGCAATAATTACAGCTGTCGTTTTTTTGCACCCGGAAAACCTAAAGTAAGTGTAAACAATCGATGACGGATTGTTTTTATTTTTCATTCATTCGAATCTCATATTTAAAACAAATCAATTAAAAAAGAAAAAATGAAAAGTTTCGTACGTTGGAACTGAAAATTGAGCGGGGGAATAAAATGGCGGCAACGTGTCGGACACAAAAATCAGACAAAAAAAAAAAAACAATGAAAACGCGTAAACGGATAAATCGAATGATGATGGCGATGATGATAATGATAAGAATAACATCATTTTAAAATTTTTTTGTATAAAAATCAATTTTTTAACAAACAAACAAACAAACAAACAAACAGACAAACAGGCAAACAACGCACGTACACTTGGCTCGGTTGCGCGCGTGCAACCAAAAGCAAAAAAAAAAATCAAATCAAAAACTTGAAACTTTACCATTTCCCCCCTCCCCCTACCCCAAGAAAAAAAACTACTTTTTTTCTCCTTTTACTTTCGGATAAAAATTTAAAAATTTTCAAACAAACAAACAAACAAAAACAATAAAAATCAATTTTACGACAATTTTTTTTTTTACAAAGCCATCCGAAAAAATAAAAAAATTTTTTTTGATTCAATTTTCCTGCAACGAACTTTTTCCCCAACGAAATGTTAAAACAAAAATTCTCGTAGCAAATCTTACCAACATGCGAAAAAAAAAAAAAAAAAAAAACATTTTTAAACCTTTAACGAGTGAAGCTTTTCGAGTGTTTTTGTGTTTTTTCGACAATAAAAAAAAAAAGTAATAAATAATTTAATCGAGAAAAATAAATATAAAAAAAAAAAGATTCTAAAAAAACGTGGCGGTAGATTTTTTTTTTTTTTTTTTCCATTACCGATTTCAATAGTCCAATAAATAAATAAAATTTACTTTCTCGATTAAATAAATAAATAATAATAATAATAATGATTTAATCTTACCTTTTGGTCCTTGGCAGGTGCAACAATTTTTCCGGTTTCCGGAATTTTCCTTCGATGGTTTCTTATCATCGTTTTCCAATTTCGTTGTCGAAAACGTGAAATCGACTTTCGACGTCGTGTCGTTAGAAAAGCTTGTTTCCTCTTCGATTTGTGAGGGTTCCTTTCTCGTAAGATTACCACCATTCGTTTTACGATTGAAATAAGCACCGATGGAATGTCGCCTTCCACTTTGGAAAAAATTACCATTTTGATTCGAGTTGTTATAGTATCGATCCGCGTCCGTGGATGATGGTATCACATCATCTTGTACGAGATCAATTTGTTTATGAGATCGAGAAGTTGTATTGACTACGTCGTTTGTCGACAGTCCAAATGTTTTACCCGTGCTCGCATTTCTATTGTGATGTTTTTTAGGCGAATGAGACATTTGTTGAATCGATGGTGCTATGTCCGATGGTCTAGGCATTCCCAAAACGAACATTTGCGTTTGTATTGGATTTTCAAAATTGTTTGTTTGAAGCAACGAACGAAAACTCCTTCTGAAAGCACTATCTAACGTCGGCATCGTCGTCGTCGTCGTCGTCGACGATTTCGACGTAGAATTTGTCGTTGTTGAATTCATATTGTTCGTGCTCGACGGTAACACCGAATAACGTTCACCTTTTTTATTTTTATTCGACGATGAATTATTTGCCGATGCCGACGATGAGCCAGTGCCCATTCTAACGTGTTTCCTTATTAATGAAAATCTTCCCCCTCGATTACCCACGCTCGAGGTCGTTCCTCCGGGAATGGTAAAATAGGAAGGATTATCTGAAATCAATAACACGTTTCATTATAAGAAAAAAAAAAAAACTCTTTTATAACAAGTGATCGTTTTCCCCCCCCCCTTCCCTCCTCCCTCCCCCTTCTTCCCTTCCCCTTTCCTCAATTACGTTCACCGTAAAAAAAAAATAAAAAAAAAAAAAAAATCATTTTTCTTATTTTTTTTTTTTTCTTTCTTTCTTTCTTTCTTTCTATTGAAATTTTAAACAAGTAAACTTTTAAAAAAATTTTTTTTTTTTTTTCAAAATAGAAAAAGTTTTAAAATATTAATTTAATAATATTAATATGCCGTCAGAATCATTTTCTTAAATTCTAAACAAAAAAAAAAAAAAAAAAAAAAAAAAGAAAATTTCGTTATTAAATAAAAAAATTTTTTTTTTTCCTCCTGCACGAAAAAAATAAAAAAACTCAAAAACAAACAAACAAACGAAAAAAAAAATTAAACGAATAGAATTTAATATTATTATCATTTTCGTTTTTTTTTCGATTCCATAATTCGTTTAACCGAATTCAATTAACGAAACTCAAGCTACTATTTTTTGTTCTCTTTCTCTCCAGGCAATCCTCTTTCTTCCCTTTCAATTCCCGATACCGCCGCATCCATTCACGTATATATATTATTATAATATTGTAATTAAATACCTACCTGCTACCATCAATGCAGTTTTCGGCATTAAAAAAAAAAAAAAAAAAGGTGTATCTACTTTTTTTAATCGAATTACGACACCTTTAACATCGTTCTATATTGTATAGTAAAACGATAGTCAGTCTATAAATTCCCCCGGTCATGTACGACAAAAAAAAAAATAATAATAATAATAAAATAGAAAGAAAAAGAAAAAGAAAAAATCACTTGTTATCCTTACTTGTCGAATACTTTGCTAAGAATGAAACATAAGACAGTATTTTATTATACAAGGGATAGGAGGATAAAATGATTTACAATGCACCCGAATCATCATCGTTATAATTCACCATGTTTAGCTTACGTAAAATGATTTCAAATTAAAAAATTGTATGTCCGTGTACGTATATACATACATTCTATTGAATTATTTAATTTCAGGGTCACAAACACACACACACAATATGAATGAATTGGTAAGGGTGAAAAGTGCCGAACGGTCTGAGGTTATCACGTGTATCATTTAGAAAAAAAATAATAATAATAATAATTTGTGTGTGTGTGTGATGTGGGATACGGATTGGATTCGGTGAAAACTTTTCTTTCGAGACAAAAAAAAAAAAAATGGTGGAAACGTATGGATGGAAAACTTTTGCTAGATAAATAATAAATTTAAAAGGACTCTCCTGACCTATTTTTTTGTTCTGTACGTTGGTGACACGTTCATTCCAATGAACGATGAGTTTTTACACATCCTCCTTTTCGCTTAGAGAAAAATAAAAATCAATTTCAATAAACGGAAATGAAATTTACGACCCTTTTTTTTTTAATAATATTAATAATAATAATAGTAGAAAATGTAAATAAATCGTTTCGAGAGAGAGAGAGAGAAAAAAAAAATAATAATAACGAAGTGTTGTCATCATGTGTCATTCTTTTCTCATTATTTCCTTTCGTCATTTCTTTCATTATTGTCATTAGAAAAAAAAAAATGAAGTTTTTTGTTATTGAAAACAATTTCTTCTTTTCTTTCTGGAAAATATTTCTCCAGATTTTTATTCACCCTTTCATCCGCCAACCCCCGGTAAAAATAAAATAAAATATTTGCATATTTAAAAAAAAAAAAAAAACAGGTAAAATATTTTTCTTTTTGAATTTGACAGGAAGTTAAAAGGAACTAACTAACGGATGTACATGAAATACGTCAAGGACGTTTACAAACGTGTACAAAACGGAAACGATGAATTCGACTAAAATTTTTTCTATTTTCTCTCTCTCTCTCTCTCTCACTCTTCGTTTTCAAAACAAAATTTTTTTTTTTTTTTAACAGTCCGCCATTGACAAACGACAATTGTAATAATAATAATAATAATAAAAATTAACGAAACAAAAGAAGAGAAAAAAAAAATCGTGGAAAGAGAGAAATGAAAGAAATCTAAAACCACGAAGGGTGTAAATAAATAAAAAAAAAAAATTTTTTTTTTTTTTTTAAATTTCTAAACACGTATTCCTCCTACAAAACGGTTATGGAATGAAAAAATAATAATGATGATGATGATGATGATAATTATTTAAGTTTAAATATTTAATAGGTAAGTTTATAGGAAAAAACGACTTGCACGCACGCACGCACGAAAATCCGAAGATTTTGATTAGAAAACAAAAAAAAAAATTTTTTTTCGATTTATCGATTTGACGCCATTTTAAAAAATTAATGGATGAAATCATTTCTTTTTATATAACGGTAGATAATTCGATTAATCAAAAAAAAAAAAAAAAAAAAAAAAACATTTTATTCACTTATTATTTATTCGGTTTAATGTTTTTTTCAAAGGGATTTGAACAACCGAACAACCAAACAACCAATTTATTCCCTTTTTCTTTTTATTGAGCCTGATAAACTAAGAAAGGAAAATTCGTAATTATCAAATAATGACTAATGAAATATTAACGAGACGGGGGGAGAAGGGGAGAGGGGGGGGGAAAGAAACGATTTTTCCTGGAGAAAAGAAAAAACATTTTTAAAAATTAACAACTGTCGCGATGTGACAAAAACATTTTTTATTAAAAAATCTCATGGAAATCCATGGAAATAATAATAATAATAATAATAATAATAATAATAATAATTGAGGATTTTTTTTGTTTTTGTAAACGTCAAATGAATTTTTAAAGGGGTTAAAAGTGAAATGAAAAAATTCGTCGTTAAAAATCTACGAAAGTAACAAAAAAAAATAAAAATAAAAAGGCAAAGGGGAAAAGAGAGAGAGAGAGAGAAAAAGGTTGTTGGCGTTGGCGTTGGCGGAGTCGGCGACGGCGGTAAATACGTGAATAAAATACAAAACAACCGATTCGAAAAAGTTTTCAATAACGTTTTTTACCCTTTTTTTTTTTTTATCATCATCCCCCCTTTTATCATTGATGATTTAAAAAGATATCGTTTCGTTCTACGTGATTAAAACCTGAAAAAAAATAAAAACAACAACAACAACAACCAACAAACTCACCGAGTGCCATGACGGGTAGTAGTATCGATCAATATGTCGACAACAATGTCATACGACGATATAATTCAGGGACGTTTGCCTTTTTCGTACGATTTATTAACAATACTGACAGGAAATGACTTTTTTTTTTGTTTCAAAACCTTTTTTGGCGGTTGAATTCTCTGCGGAAAAACAAAACAAAAATTACGAATGCGTTAAAACAAAAAAAAAACATTTTTCGCGTTTCAAAAAAAAAAAAAAAAAATTATTTTTCTGGCAAATAAAAAATATTTTCGTCAAAAATTTAAAATTTTGTTTTTGTTTTTCTTTTTAAATTCAAGGTTTCCTTTTTGTGTTTTTTTATTTTTAGAAAAAAATTAAACGAGATTAACCTTTGAAAAATTTCGTTTGTTTTTTTTTTTTTTTTTTATACGTTATTTCAGTCTAATAAATTTTTGTCGCATATTTGCAAAAATTTTGTCGACAACTTAACAAAATTAAAAAAATTTATTTTATCCTAATCGAAATTTGGAAATTTTTTTTAAGAAAAAACATATTTATGTTTAAAACATAATTAATGTTGTCATTTCTTATTAACGATCGATTAATGTGAATTATTTTCGTCGTCTGCTTTTAACCGTCTTAATAATTTATTTAAATTTATAATTATATCGTTCGATTAAGTTAAAAAAAAAAAAACTTTAAATTTTTAGAGAGAGAGAGAGAGAAATTTTCGAAAACTTACCCTCATAATGTTGTTACTACCATCGAAGCAAACATTCAAAATTTTTTCTGACGTTAAAATAAACACAAAAACACGCACGAATTTAAATAATAATAATAATAATGTTTTTGACCGTTTCGAATTAAAACCGTTTTTTTTTTTTTTAAATAAAATAAAATAAAAAATAAAAAACTATTCACTTGTAAAAACGCACACAACGAACACACTAAAGACTAAATAATATCCGGACTGTAGGAATAATGATCTAAATGACACATAATGCACGATCAACTGAATGTTAACTTTTGTTGTAACTCATATTGGCACGATAGTGCAGGCTGTCAATCCAATACACAAAAGAGAGCGACGGAAATGGGGCGGATTGCGGGTTTTCAAAATCGAGGGGGACTCACTCACTCTCACATAAGAGAGAGAGAGAAAGAGCCCAGCTTCGTTAGAGGATCGCAGGCGCGTTTATATATTTCATCTATTTCTATTTGAGACGGAATTTTTTTTTTTCTTTTCCCCTTACTCCTCCTCCTCCTCCTACTCCTTCTCTTCTTATTCTTTTTCTTATTGCATTTCTATTTTAATTTAGTAGCAGCCTAAAAAAAAAAAAAAAAAAAAATTTCCAATCAAATTATTTTAAAAACAATTTAAAAAAAAAAAAAAAGTTTTATTGAAATTACATTGATGATTACTCAACCATCCATTTCATTTTAAAAATAGTTTTCGAATAAATAAAAACATTTTTAGCGAATTCACATTGAAAATTCGTCGCCCCTCCCACTTTCTCAAAATACATAATAAAACCTTCGCCATTTTTTTTTTTTATTTATTAAAACGACAAATTTTCCGTTACTTTTTTTTTCTTAACGTACGATGATAATTCACGCGTGTGTTAAACTATAATAAATAAATAAATAAATAATATTTCAATTAAATAAACATGTGTGATATAAAGAAGAGTATTTCTCTTGCACAACCCTATCAGAAAAAAACAAAAACTGTCAATTATATAATTTTATGTTGTGTTGCCTCGTTTGCGAGTTCAATAAAAATTTAAATTTAAATTTAAATTGTAATTTTTATTAAAAGTCCTATAAACGTGAGGTCGTAATTTCGCACGGCGTAATTGTTAATAAAAAAAAAAAAAATTCTGTCTAAAAAATTCTC